AAGATTAGACTGGACTATAAAACATAAAATAATACTCGTGAAGAGTGGTTTTTAGTTCACATAGATACACGAGACTAAATGGGCAGTCCTGTCCTGAGGTGGGATGAGAAGGCAGAAAGGGATAGCAGCTGGTTGAATGGACATGGGAAACGCAGGGTGGAAATGGGGAGTGTGCTGTAACATTATAGGGATTGCAATTAGTGTCACATAACAATATGTGTATACATTTTTATATGAGAAATTAACTTGAGCTGTAAACTTTCACCTAAAGCACAATTTGAAAAAAAAAATGCGTTCTGGCTGGTTTATCAAAGAAGTTGAATTAACTCTAATGACAATAATACCTTAAAAACCATTGCATCAGTTATGCATCCTAAGTTAAGGTTTATCAAATAGAAAGATAGTAGGAAGGCTTGTGTAATAGCTAGAGAAATGGGAGTCAGTTATTCAGGTAGTGTCAACAGTCAGACATAGCAAATTGGTTTAAGTTATACATTAATATATACTGTTTTCATATACTTAACCTTCATAAACAAGTTAAGAAAAGGTCCTTCCCTGTTTCTCAATTGTAGTGAAATACACACTATTTTTTCTGTGCATGTGACATGTTTGTAATCAGAAGTTCCAAATTTAAAGTTACCATGAATTCTGCCCATTTTTCTGCTCATATCTATTCCTGTTACACATTTAAAGTTTACTTATATAAAACAAGATCTGTACCAGATACTAAAGATCTAAATTCTAACTCTTGATCTAAACTTACTACTTGTCCAGTAGTTTACAGCATTTCATTGAGTCGTAGTTTGGGGCTTCAAAATAAGTAATTATAATAGCCTCTAACCTTACTTACTTCCTAGGGCAGTTACCACAGTTAACTTAGCATTGCATGAAATACATGCTTTGGAAATAAAAATGGTATAGAAATACAAATTATTGTTAAAATCACCTGATAAACATCTTGAATCTTGCCAAATATCCCTTATTTTGGACTATGTTTCTCTTTTCTGGCATTCCTCAGCACCTCCCCTCTTCAAGTTGTCTTCTCTAATTAAGTAGCCATCACCAGAGACTCACACGTGCATCTCCAGCCCCTGCCCCAATCTTCACTTCTATCAACTAAGCATCACTTTCTGGATATTTTACAGAATCTGCAAAATTAATGATCCCAAGTCATGTTTATTTTTTCAAATTTCTTTATTCTATACACCTTGCCCCACCCTCCAACTGCGATCTTTTCCTCCCTATGGAACTCCCACCCTCTATATCAACCTACTGGAACTACCGATACCCCTCAAATCATCTTTCTCACTCACTCCACATTCCATTGGTCACCACATTTGATTAATACCACGTCCTAAATAGCCTTCGAATGTGCATCCCTTCCTCACCACATTATACTGCCTCTGCCATGTTTTAAGCCATCATCAGTCTCTTGCCCTGACAACTGCATTAGCCTTCTTCTAGTTTCCATGCCTTCACTGCTGCCATGGAAATTTTGTTTCTAATACAAATCTGATCATATTACTTCCCAGACTGAAACCCCTGTCCCCATATCTACAGAATAATTTCCTTGACACAACCCACAAAAGGTTCTATAATCTAGACCATCCCCTATGCTCCCAGTTTTCCTGGTATTCCTCATATCTCCATTAACCACTACTTATGCACCAGTCGGAGCCCTGATGGCACAGTGGTTAAGTGCTTGGCTGCTAACCAAAAGGTTGGCAGTTCGAACCCACCAGCGGCTCTGTGGGAGAAAGAAGTTGCAGTCTGCTTCCATAAAGATTATAGCCTTGGAAACCCCATGGGGCAGTTCTACTCTGTCCTATAAGGTTGCTATGAGTTGGAATCAACTCAGTGGCAATGGGTTTTATGCACTAGTCACATAGAACTCATGACAGTCTCTTTCTTAATTTGAGTACTTGCTGGAATTCCCTCCACTAGCCCCACCATTACCACTATGTATTGATAAACTCCAGTTCATTTTCTAAGATTAAATTCAAAGGTTAGTTATTCTATGAAGCCTCCTCTATCTCCCCACCACCATCCCTTCCTCCAAGGCTCCTATAAAATGATAGTAGAAAAGAATTGTTTGGAAAAAAAGATTCAGAAATGCAAAATGAATTGTGAATATTAGAATGGGAAAAAGAAAAAAGCATGACAAAGTAACATTCTATCTTCTGTCTTAGAAACATAAGATTTTAGAGCTGCAAAGGTTGTTACAGTCAATCCAGACCGAAGTTTTCTGTGATTTCCACATAAAAAGTAAAAGCTCTTGCCTTAAGATGAAGTGTGGGAAATTTGTATCTAGCTGTGTAATACTGGCTGTATAATTTGAGTGATCCATATCCAGCATTCAAGAAAGCAATCACTACACTACTCAAACACAAAACAATTCTAAAATCATATAATCTGACCTTCATAGTTTCAATTTCCCTTACTTTCCACAGCATAGCATTGATCTTTTAAAGACAAAGTTTGTCATCATTTGTACACGTCCAAATTCAAAATTCCTTAATTAAAGGAAAAAATACCAAATAAATTTTCATTACAAGTTAGGACAATAATGTCTTCCTAGCTTTTTCAAAAATCTGTTCTTTTTTTTAACAAAATCTTTGCCTATAAAGACAAAATGAGGAAAAAAAAAAAGCAAAAAAGAATGAATATAGCAAAATGTGTGAGCTGACCTGCTCCGTTTCATCGGTAAAAATTTTAGTGGAAAAGGAAATTGAGCAAGGTACGTCATTACATCTCATAAGTCCAGAGAAAGCAATTACCGATTGTGGGACGTCTCATAAGTCCAGTGAAAGCAATTACCGATTGTGGGAGCCATAGGGAACTCTCTCCTAGAGAAGTTTCCAAATATTCCAAGCCCAATTTTTAATAAAATTTATTTTAAGACATGCCAGGTTTTGGGGCTCTGAACATGAATCGTGTTTATTTTCATAACTGCTCGATTTGAAGTCATATCATATTTGACAAAACTTTAGGGTGGTTAAAATTACAATTGTGTTTCCTTTTAGCAGCCACATTTTGAGATAGGGATAGACTGGATATGGACCAGCCTGCTTTCATCTTCCTTAAACTAAGACTCACTTAGTGCCCTGAGCTTACAGAAATTTGCTTTCAAATTGAGGTCTACTTTTCAATAGACAATTCTTATAAAATTTTTTTACAGGTTGTTACCTACACCTCTGACTTCTTGAAATGGGTCAGTTAGTTTCTAAACATATGTGCTGTCTTTTCTCTTTCATTTTTAGGATATTTTCCACTTAAAATACATATACATTTTCTGTAAGTCACCAAAGCCAAGTTACTGGCATGAAAAATGACCCTGTTACTTGGAAAGCAGTTTTTACTTACAAGTCCCCCAGGTCCTATAATGTCTAAACCTCCTGTGCCACTTTATATGACCACCCCACCCCACAGAGGAGCATGTACAGGAAAAACAGGCTTCCCTTCCCCCACATATTTCCTCAGTTTATTTACAAAACATCTTGGAATGAGAATGAGCTGCTTGTGGTTCCTGTGGCTGATTCAGGGATGGTTTTCTCCAGGCAGAGGATGCTGGTCAACTGAATGACCTCTTCTCTAGCTAACCCACACACCACTGTGGTAAGGCTGTTTGGTCTTATGGGTGCCCCTTCTAACTAAACTTGGTGGGATTTGTTTTTGTGGTAAAGAACTTAGTAATAACCAAATATCACTGTGTAGACAGATTTAATAATGATGAGGTCCATAAGAGGCTATCCCTTCCACTACTAAAAAAACAAGTCAGAAATACTCTAAGATGCTTTCAGGCTCCTGCGCATCAACCTTTGCTTCTCAAAGGGTCATAATGCTTCCCTTATGGATTCCTGAAAGAACAATAAGCCTATTAATATCGCATTTGTATAGAGAGTACATTGAGGGAAGAAATCATCCCAAACACCAGCTGCATGAGAGATGCATCTTATTCAGAAGTTCTCCACCAGCTCACACACAGGAAGTTGATGACTGATAGGCTTAAGCAGGTTTAAAGTTGTGAAGATATCAATTAAACATAAATCTCCCAAATGTTTGTGTTTATTTGTCCAGACTTGCTAGTAAACAGTCACATGTAATTCATCAGTGACTCTTTGAAACCTTGAAATTCTTGGGAATAGGAGTAGCAGTAGTCCTTAGGGTGAGCTGAAGTACATCTTTCAGCCATGTAAGTGAGAGATGATGGTACAAAAAAGTATAAGATAAACACTGAACATAAGTTATTATAAGCACTCACATATGACCCATATGGAAAGACTGATAAGATAAATATCACATTTTCACTATTATATCAGGTTTTAATTGATAAATATTAAACTCATGTGAAAACGAATATTTCAAGAAAGTACTGGGTGGGACAGAATACCTACATCAGGGATCAGTTTGCACTGAATCAGAATAAAAATGTGTTTTCTAATAGACCATAATTAAAAAAAAATTATCCTAGAACTTAGTTTCCTTATTCAAGCTAAATCCCTGTGTGCATTGTCATCTTTACTGAAGAAATTAGAGACATGTGCTTATCATCCACCATATAAATGTATAAATGAGCACAAAATTACCCAGTCCTCGGTCTCCCAGTGTGCTAGTTCAATGATTATATTTTCACTATATATATATATATATATATATATATATACATATATATATCCCATTGCTATTGAGTCCATTCTGACTCAGCGGCCCTTAGGGTTAGTGATATGTGTGTGTATGTGTGATATAATCTATAAGTAGTTTGAGGAATTTATTCTTTTTTCAAAAGATCAAATTTTAAGAACTTTGAAGTTAAAAACAGTGTATGTATTAAAAAGAAATACTACATCACAGAATAGAGGGGGGGGAAAATCCCACCTCATCTACCCATTACCACCAAATTGAAAGCTAATGAAAGAAAAATGTATATCCTGCCCAAAGAATGCTATTTCATGTCTATATCTATGATTTCACTTTGCGTCTTTTTACACTTGTCTCCCCAGTGCATCCTAACGTCAGTCAAGGCTGCCAAGGAGGCTGTGCAACATGTTCAGATTACAATGGATGTTTGTCATGTAAGCCCAGACTATTTTTTGTTCTGGAAAGAATTGGCATGAAGCAGATTGGAGTGTGTCTCTCTTCATGCCCAAGTGGATATTATGGAACTCGATATCCAGATATAAATAAGTGTACAAGTAAGTGCCTACACAAAATTATGGTTTTATCTCATCTTTGTGAACTTCTCCATGTTAGAAGGGCTTCTAACATATTTGTGATATTCTTATCAAGTAAATAATAAAGTTTACCTGATATTTATGTTAAACAATCCTTAGAAAGCCCTCAGGGAAAGAATATTTGTGCTACTTAAAAAAAAAAAAAAAACCTAAGTTTTTTTTTTAATTGTAAAATCAAAACTTAAGAACATGATTATTACTCATTTAATCTACAAAAAAGTACTGCAAGGATCAATTCCCTCTTAATTCTCATTACCATCTCAACAACCCAAGTATTTAAAGACTTGAAGAATCATTTCAGCCATTTTGGCTTTAAGAAGGATTTCAATAAAGCAACTGAAGTATCTATTTATCAATAAAAAAATTATTCCATTTGTTTCTCCTTAATCTCTGTCCCGAATTCAAATAAGTGACAGTTTTTTTCTTCTTAGCTTGGTAATATGTAGACCAGAGATGATTTTTGGATAGACAGCCTATGACACTTCCTAGTGAGTCTCTTATTCTCACAGAGTAGATAAACTATGCTCTTCATTTCGTCATCTCCAGAGTAAGAGTTCTCTCTTGCCACACTGAATATCACCATTTACAACAGGAATGGAGAGTAAGAAGGTGCCCCATTAGCTGCTTTATTAAAAATACAAATGATAAAAATAATGAGATAGAATGAGAATTATCTCCACATTTCTGAAAATCCTAAACTTCCAGTCTTAAATAAAATACTATCCATTAACTTACAGATTTTATTGAAATTTTAAAATTTCCCCAAACCAAAAATCTATATATTTCAGATTATATTTTTAGTTTGATCTTAAACTGATAGCCAGATTTTAAAGTCCATTCTTTTGTGATTTTTTCAGGTGAGATTTTTCAGGTAAATGGTTTTTGGAGCATGTTTACAAATAAAAGCATTAGCATTTTCATGCCTCGATTTCAAATCTTTGGTGGAAAAAATACTGAAATATGAGAGAGAAGATTAATATGTAAATGAATATGATTATCACAAAAAGAAAATCAATTTTATTCTTAACAATTGCATTTCAAAGTTTAAAGTAATCAAATGAAGTAAAGTAACATGTTTTTACTTCAATTTTCTAGTTTAATTTCTCCGATGACAATCTAAAATATTTCACAAAGTAAGAGCTTGTAGAGTGACAGCATTTCTTCTTGAGTATTTCCAACTCTTCTTTAGAAAAAAGATATTAAGCGCATAGATAAATCTAGCGTTCAATTATTTTCCTTTTATTTACTACAAATTTATCTAGACTGGTGCATTATGGAGTCTAAATTTTAGCATTTTAAAGATAAAATAAGGCCATATTTGCCCAAAATATGACACTGAAACAGAGATTGGAATAAACACAATGAAACAAGAAGAAAACCTTATTTTTATTAAATTTTATTAGTCCACTGTTTAAAAAATGCATCATTCTGATTTGGTTTTTGTCCTCATAGAAGACAAAATGCAAGTATGCTTATTTAACACAAAAGAATAGAATCATCAGCCAAATAAGATAAATAGGAAGTATATTTTATTCTCACTATAACATTTAATTATATTTATGAATGAGATATGTTGGTTAACATATATATATATATATATATATATATATATAAAATATTGTTTAGTTATGTAAGCACCAAAGGCTTCATGTTACCTTGAGTATTTTTAGATCAGGTTATCTACTCAACTGTTTTCCCTATCTCAGTATATGGCACCAATATTTTTTTAGTTTTCAAGTGAAGAACCTAGGAGTAACCTATCCTTTTCTTGTTCTCACTCCCCCATATTCAATCCATCAGTTTTGTCGTTTGACAACCAGTCTTAGAGTCCCCAGTTTCCCCTCTAGTCTAAACAGCCTCATATCATCTCTCACCTGGACCCTGAAAGTCTCTTCTCCACACTGCACTCACCTTTCAAAGCTGTAAATTAAAACATCATTCCCCTATCCAAACACCGTATGTGACCCTGCCTGCCTGTCAAAACTCATCTTCTGTAACTCATCATCACCTACTTTGCAACAGCCATACTTGTCTTGTAAGATTTTTCCATCTCAAGACTTTGTAAATTACTGTTCCCCACTTACCATTCCACACTTGCTGTTCCAGTTGTTTGGAAAGATTTTACTCCACACCTTTGCATGACTGGCTCTCTCATTTCATTCAGGATTCTGCTCATATGTTACCTCCCCAGAGAGGCATTCCCTAACGATCTCATCCAAAATAATCAACCTCTTCCCCTTATCAGTCATTCTCTATCTCTCTTTGTACCTACCCTGACCTCCTGTTCCCCAGAGCACTTATTACTCTGAACAAACTTCCTGGTTTCAAATCCAGTCTGGTCTATGATCTTAGGCTACTTTGCATAACCTTTCTGACCCTCAGTTTCCTTATCTATAAAGTGGGAATAATAATAGAGACTACCTCATCGGATTATTGTAAGGTTCAAATGACCTAATGTATAGTAAAACACTTGTAGCAGTACCTAACTTATAGTAAACACCATATAAGGGTCAACTATAGCTATTAGTTATTGCATCTCTCTTCCTACAATATAAGCTTTGTGAAGTCTGGACTATATGTCTCTTTTGTACTGCTGTCAACCAGTGCCTAAAATAGCGCCTGGCACATAGTGGGCAATCAAATATTTGTTGGATGAATGAATAGATGTTAAGAACAGCACAACGGAAATATCCCAGTACATTTTATTAAAATTATGAAACATTTTCATAATCTGTTAATGTAAATAGATACTAGCTCCTATAAACCTTCTTGACAGTAGATTTATTGCCAAAAACAAAACAAAAAAGAACGCAACCAGTCCAATGCTTTTGGAATCATTGACTGATGTATATCAACTGAATAACTGTGGAAGAATCCTTAATTCAGTTTAGCAAAATAATTTTGAACCTAAAGTGTTTCACATGGAAGGTGCAAATGTCTGTGTTGGAAGCCTGCAAAACTAGATCAGCAATAGTTAAATGAAGATAATGGAAACATGGTTCCCTTTTCTTTCTTCTCTTTTAGAATGCAAAGCTGACTGTGATACCTGTTTCAACAAAAATTTCTGCACAAAGTGTAAAAGTGGATTTTACTTACACCTTGGAAAGTGCCTTGACAATTGCCCAGAAGGGTTGGAAGCCAACAACCACACCATGGAGTGCGTCAGTATCGGTGAGGAGGAACTCTGAGATTTAGGATGGTTGATGAACACCTCAGATAGTAATTCAGTCTCCATGAAGGTGCCTCTCCAAGTCCTATTTCACAAGAACCTGAGGAACCTTCTCTAAGAGGTCCTCTCCATCCTTCTTTACAAAGATACCATGTAATTGTGTTCCTATCACCTCACCCAGCATGTATCACAGTGCAATTCAATATCCAGTGGATGCTCCATTATTTTTAGGGGACTATTGATAATTGTTTCAACTATTTAGATCATTATAGATTTATTTTTTATCATTATTTCATGAAGTTTTACTTATAATAGACAATTTATTTCCTTTTCTGTTTATATTTATATATTTTTCTTTTATACTTGATCTTCAACTAAATCTCTACCTTAGGGCAAGAGTTTCATCACAAAATGCTGAGGTTTAATCTTAACCAGTGACCAAAGTTTTTTTCCAAGGGAGACAAATGTATTCTGTGATACATCCCATTAATGCTCAGTAGATGGGTCAAAGACCTAGAGAACTGGAGTTAATGTAGTTAAAATGTCACTGTTTTCTCTCCCATTGCCTTGCTGAAATGTTCTGGTTGCACAGGTACTCAGAAACAAGAAAGAAAGGATTTTGGATTTACTCAAACTGACAGAATGAGACAGTTTCAGGGTCTGATTAATTGCAGGTTGAGTTTCTTGGAGGGGAGGTTCCTCAGACAAGCTGTCTGTCTAAATAAGGGATCACTGTCAAGCTGTATTTTCCCCCTTTTAAATGTTGTGCAGCTACTACAGTGATGGGTTTGATGAACACTTGGGGAGCAGATGCCAACCTAAATGGGAAAACAGAATACTGAATCTCAAAATCCCCTAGGCAAAAACTACAAGAGCCTTTGAGGCTGTGCTGAAGTTGGCATTTGCACACAAACGCTCTCCTGATTCAGTACAAGATGGGTCCCACAGTACAGATCCATTAGAATCTAAAGTGCTGGAGTAATAACACTAAAGTTGTAGTTTAACCATCTCAGGTCCCACCATGGAATCTTATTTCTAAACAGAGCTCTAAGGTAGAATGAAATAAATGGATGATATTTTAAAGGTAATTTCAGAAGCATCTGAAAAACAACAGTTCTGAAACAGCACATGGCTTATTATGGTTATGTCTTTTTTCTTTAGTCAATAAAAACACAGAAAAACAACTTAGAAATAGGGAAAAAGGTACATGAGAAAGCATTTCGAGTTTGTCTCTTTATAGGTCCTAAGGGCTAATGATTAGAAGTAATAAGTTTCAAACAGTGGAAAAAAAAAATAGGAAACACTTCTGTGGAATATTCAAAAACAGAAATTCAGGATGAGTTGCAGAAAGCTTGTGCTATTTCTCTGCCCAGGAAAAGGGACACATGTTTATATTTTCTTAGTTGTTTAAGGTGTAGCATTCAGTTTCCTTGAAAGGTGATTTATCTGAAATGCATTCATGCATTTCTATCAGACAGTACATTTAGTGCTTGGTACTGTTAGATTTAGGAAGAAAGGACTGGCAATCTACTTCTGAAAAATCAGCCAATAAAAACTCTATGGATCACAGTGATCTGGTTCCATTGTATGTGGGGTAGCCATGAGTCAGGGGCTGACTAGACAACAGCTAACAACAACAACAACATTAGATTAGCCTTTAAAGTTTAGTGCTAATTTATACTATTATTGAGACAAAGACTATTTCTTAACACAATTAAATTTAGGAAGTGTATGTATTTTGGAACAGGAGTTAGCGGCCTATAGACCATTTACTGAACCTGGCTCTAAATGACCGAGGCCACAGTAATAGTATCCATTAGCAAATTTTGTTCAGGGCTGGCTCGTGTTGCTTGCTTCATGGGATGTCTCCTATCACATGGTGTCTGGCCTACAAACCCTACACTTGCTATACGTATGGCCTTGCCTCAGTATTTTATGACCTGCTTCATTATAACAAAGGAATAGTAACACTTGTTCCTTTAACAAATGCAGAAATTAGAACCCGCAAAGCTGAAATGACGACCCCAAGGACAGTTATTCTCAGTGCTATAATTAGTACCCTGACTCCAGCTCCCCACTGCTCATCCAAAAGGCTGAAGAATCGTTCTCTCCATTTGCTAAAATTTACACTATATCTCGTTTCCTACCCAGATTTTAAATTGTGAGGAAAGATCATAAACAGAGAAAATGTTCCCCTGATATAGAGCTAGGATGAACAGCTTATGCCACAATATATCACTCCCCATGGTTTACAGGTCAAATTAACCATAAATGTCCACTGAACCCAATTTTATAGAAGAGCATATCCCTTCCACTTTGTGCCTTAAATATTTTCTTCCTTTCTGTACTGTCATTCTGTCATCTCATTGCTCCTCTTGGAGAGTTTGCCTTTTTCAAATAGTGACAGAGGGAAGATGTCCAGCTCCAAACACTGAGTAGCAAATGACATGCCCTTGCTGTGTTCCCTATGGAGCCATGCAGTCAGTTAACAAGAATGAAAGCAAAAGAGTAATGGTAGTGTAACATCCCGTTCAATTTTCCTCCCCATTCAGGAATCCCTTTTGCAGTATCCCAGACTAATGACCAACCACTGCATGACTACTTCAGGGACAGGGAGTTCATTGCTTTTTTGAGACACTTGTTCCATCAGTGAATAGCTGAAGTCTTTAAGACTGTTCTTAATACAGATGATGAAAGGAATAGAGAAGTTACTGTAGATCTGTTTTCTTAACTAACCTCTTAACCAACTAGTGTCCCAGTCTCTATAGTGTTTATTTAATGTCCTGAATATAATTTAAATCACCCTTTTTTTTGTTATCTTCAGCATTTTTTCTAAAGCTTTCATTTATTTCCAGAAATAGTTTTTGGACATTAACATTGTAGGTTCATTCTATAGTATTTCTCTTTGTAGTGTAGAAGTGCAAAAATCTCCTGCTATGAAACCTAGGAGAGCTATTATTGAAAAGAAGAGACTAATACAGAATAAGGAAACAATCTCCAAAAAACCAAAACAAAAGTTTCTGGAAAAGTTAATCTTAGAAATCATTCTGTCAAGTTAACTCTAAGCGCAGCATATCAGCTGAAATTGACCCAGAGTTTACCTGAAATACGTGCTGATGTGCCTAAACCACAGCCAGTAACAAACGACAGTATTTAAGTGCCCAACAGCACACGAAGTAGAAAACAGAAAAGGCTGTGAGTTGTAGGCCAAAGACCTGAATTCAGTTTTTTACTCAACCGTTCTCTGGCCCAGAGCTTCTCAGAATGTGTTCCCAGTACCTGCAAATCAACATCACCTGGATTGTTAAAAGTAAAAATTCCAAACCCCACCCAGACCACTGAATCAGAAACTCTGGGCCCAGTAGTCTGTGTTTTAGCAAGTCCTCCTGGTGATTCTGTTGAATGTTAGTTTGAGAATCAGTTCTCTAGCACATAATAACAACTAGACCATCTTCCAAACAAGTTCTTGTCAGGATCAATCAGTAGTTGTAGCTAGAAAATGCTCTGGAAGTGGTAAAGCACTGGTCAATTGTGAGTAATTACATTAGTGACTGGGTTAACTCAGTCTAGAATAAAAAGAAAGCCCAATGCAAGAATGAGTTTACCTGATAAGTGTGGTACTAAAACACTGAAAACATTCTATTCCTGCCTTCCCCTTTCCCTTTGTTTTATCTTTAAGTCATCTTGTCCAACTTGGATCTGCAGGATTTCTGTTGGAATCTGGATAAGTACTGATGGAAGCAAACGTTTTGTTTATTTAACAATAGTGAAAGTGGTTTCTGCTGTTCCAGTGCACTGTGAGGCCAGTGAATGGAGTCCTTGGAGTCCATGCACGAAGAAAGGAAAAACATGCGGCTTCAAAAGAGGGACTGAGACACGAGCCCGAGAAATAGTACAGCATCCTTCAGCAAAGGGCAACCTGTGTCCACCCACCAGTGAGACAAGAAAGTGTACAGTGCAAAGAAAGAAGTGTCAGAAAGGAGAACGAGGTACAGCCGTATAACAAAATGTACTTGTTTGAATCCTCATTATTTGATGCATAAATTCAATTTTATTTCTTGGGAAACATTTAGCATTACCACTCATGTCTAAAACCCTAAAATGTATACTAAACAAAGAAAATGCCAGCTGTAAATTAAAGAATATAGACATGGCAGTTTTAAAAAATGTACCCTGATCTCAGAACTTTAAACTACTACAGAAGAGTGCTAATTGAACTCTAACAAACAGAACTGTATTATAGGCATTTGGGCGATTTTCTTTCCCAACATCCACCTTCCTAGTGCCTAGAAAACTTTGGATGAGGCCTCAAAAACTCAAGATCCAATGCCATTTGGTACAAGTCCACAGTGAAGAGACATCAGCCATCTATTTACTCCTTTCCTTGTCACCTGCAAACCAAAATAGGGCAATTAAATTGCTAACTTTTTAGCTAAACATATTTTACAGCTTACATAGGATTTTTAAAATACTTAAATGGATATATATTTTTAATACTGGCTTTACATTTGAAATAAATGACCAAGGACATATTTTTATGAATATAGTACAATCACTAATGACACTCTACCCTCAGATTTTTTAAATTATAAGTTGTTTTAAAATAATGTTATTTTAAAATAAAAGTTATATAAAATAATTTTATTTTAAATAAAATAAAAGTCTTAAGATTTCCAAGGAGAAATATACCATTTAATATGATGCTCAAAGGTGATTAAATTTCCATTTAGAAGAAACACACAGTTGTTGACCATTAAAATATCATTTTTATATCTTTCGCATTACTGTCTTCAGCACCACTGCCTACAAATATGTTTGTAGCTTTATATAACTATTGGTAGTTGTCTGGTGAAGCTATAAATTATATTCTCAATTAATTGCAACTTGTAAGAAGCTTGGTTGCCTCTGTAGTTGAACTTCCTTAACTTATTGCATTCATTCACTTATTCAATATAATTATTTTGAGCTTTTATTTTATGCCACACACAGTGTTAAACCTTGGGGATTCAGAACTGGTATAGCTACTCCTCACTTATCGACTGTCTTGTTATACAATATTTCTCATTTACAACAATAGTGATAAAATCTACTATCTGACTATTTTGCATGTTTACGATGTTTGTCTGTCAGTAACAAACACTGAGGAGCAAGGCGAGAGTAACACTGGCTGTGATAATTAAGGTTATTTGTCACCTTGGATGGGCCATGATTCTCAGTGGTTTGGCAGTTATGTAATGATGTAATTTGGCAGTTATGTAATGATGTAGTCATCCTCCATTTTGTGATCTGATGTGATCATCCTCCATTTTCTCATAATGCCAATTTTTGCATAATGACCTGGTCTTTGGAAACTAACCATGTTGACAAGTGAGGAGTGAGTGTACTGTACTATTACTACCCTGAAGCTACACTCAGAGTCCAGTGGAGGTTTGAGGTGTTTAAACAGATAATCACAATATCACATAGTAATGGACATTATAGACATGTGAAAAAAGTTCAGTGGGAACACAGAAGAGGGTGCTGTGCAAATTTGAACACTGCTCATACAAGAAATAATTTGGTTCACCAGTACTTTGCGAAGTGTTCATTCACTGTACCAAGAAAACTGTCCATCTCCAGAATATATAGAGCCTGTTGTTGCCATTAATAACCAAGTAGTTAATGTGATGAAATTCTTGAAGGCAAGGGTCATTTTAAACAAAACTTCAAGCTTTTGTAAATTTGTAAGAGGTTTTGATTAAAACTTAGTTTAAGGAATGAATGTTGGCTAGTGAAAAAGGTCTTTCTGGCATTTGTTACCAATTAATTTAAAACATCTTAGATTTTAAAAGTTGGATTTGGAAATCAAATATTTCATCACTCCACTTGTTGGTATGTTCCCATAGTTGTACATTTACTTATGTTTACTAAATTTTCTTGAAATTTAATGACTTACAGGTGGTCTTTGCTCATTTTATTCTTTCCACAAATATTCTAAATTACTAATCAGTATTCGGCACATTTTGCTTTTAACATAAGTGAAAAAAAGCTTACCCAGTAGAAAACTTAAATAATAATACTAATTATGTTGTACTTCTTTTATTTGAGAATGTGGTCTTTTAATACTTTTTGCCAACACTTGACTTAAATATTAACACTGAAAATGTCAGTTCTTATAACGAGTAACTGATGAGGTAAATAATGTCATAAGTTTAAAATAGTAACCTGTGACATAAGACTTTGTGTAAGAGTTTATTTCTGGTCTTTCCCTTCCCCTTTCAGTAGAATATAGTGATATTTTACATTTGCAAACAGAACTTTATACATCTAGAAAACTTTAAGTGTATATTCTTTTTCAATTTTGATCATACAAAGACAACCAAATAGAGAATGTGGGTCATATTCCTTTTAAATTTCAGATTTAGCTCCATTTTTATTTAATCTTCATTCATCTTTTTATGTCAAACACTTTTCTCAAATAGCCTAAAAATGTAAGGTAGGAAGAAAATTACTTTTGCCTTCATTCCCCACTTCTCTAACTTAACATTTTTCTTAACTTCTCTTAATAGTAACTTATCAAAACTCCTATTCAAACATGAGGAAACCAAATAGAATGTAATTATGACCTATGAACATCCCACTCTACCAAACTTCACATTATAATACAAACATTATCCCAAGCCAGGGGCGGATTATCCAATAGGCAAGGTAAGTACACTGCTTACCTTGCTTACCAGATCATCTGTAGTGAATAATTTCACATATGAAATTAGTAAGTAAGCACAAGTAAGCCTGTGCTTACCTTGCTTACTGGGTCATCTGCTTGTCAGGGATTGTAAATTTGAAAAGAGGCTTTGATTCTGTAGGAAGGTGCTGTGGCATTGGGAGAGAGACAGATGCCAGCCATACCTAGAAGCAGAATTTTTGATGTAGTGAAAAAATGTGAAATTGTTCACTACAGATTAGTAAGGAAGCACAAGTAAGCCTGTGCTTACCTTGCTTACTGCTTATCTGCCCCTTGTTACAATGGCTTCTAGTGTGAGCCCATCTCAATTAGAAATATCAAAGATAAATAACGTACATTTTAAGATATTATAAAGGCTAACATATAGACTACTATATACTTTAAAACAACATTAAAATAGGAGTAAACAAAGAGAAAATGCACTTTCAATGGTTGTCAATATATATTTTTGATTGTTTTGATGTACTGGGTGTAACCATCTTAAATAAAGGGAAATAAAACAGGACAGGGAGATATATATGTACCTGCATTTGATGTAAAAGAGTATTTTTTTGGTGGGGGAAGAAGGTTACCAAACATGTTTCTCATTCATTTGTACATTTCTCTAATTAACTGAAGAGAAATTCCCATAGATGGGTTTTGAGGCAATTCATAAAGAATGAAGGAATCTTCACTCTTTGGCTAAATGTATAAAGAAGATACTCATTAATTACAGGTAGGACATTGTAAAGATCAATCAAATTGAATCAATTGAGTTCTGTTCCTGTGATCATTAAAGTTGTGTGTCAACTTGGCTGGGCTATGATTCTCAGTGGTTTGGCAGTTATGAGGTAATTTGGCACTTGTATGATGATGTGATCACTTCTGTGATGAGATTTGATATAATGTGATCACCTCCATGATGGGATCTGCTGTGAGGAGCCAGTCAGTTGAAAGGGAGCTTCCTTGGGGGTGTGGCCTGCATCCAACATAGGTGGACTCTGGTAAGGCTTGCGGGCATTTGCTCGCTCTGGATCCTGCAGCTGGCTCCTGTTCGTCTGATCTCCAATGCTTGGAATTTCAGCTAGCAGCATACCTGCCAACTTGCCTGCAGATCTTAGAATTCGTCTGTCTTCTCAGTTAGCAAGCAAGGGCCCTGCTGTCTGACCTACAGATCGTGGGTTTGCCAGCCTCTGCAGCTATGTGAATCAGGAGAAGCCTTCAGCCTGACCCACAGATTTGGGACATTCCAGCCTCTACATCCATGTGAGCCATTTCCTTGATATAAATTTCTCTATATAGATAGATATTTACAGGCCTTACTGGTTTTGCTTCTCTAGAGAACCCAGCCTAAGACAGCTTCCAACTATTCTACTTCTGTTCTGACACCTTTGCACGTGCAGCACTGCTTCCTCTGACCGTTACCACCCTGGCTGGGCCAACCTCACAAGTTAAAGGACACAGTCCTCCAGATTGACGCCAGCTGCAACCTTGGGAATTCACACAACACCTTCACTTCTGATCTGCTGTCGACAAATACAGGGGTTCCCTCTACCCTCTTCTAACCTACTGGCTCCCACTACTCCCACAGGTTTGATACTTGACCAGAACAACTCACAGAACTCATGGAAAGTACTGTACTTACGATTACAGCTTCATTCTAAAGAATATAAATCAGGATCAGCACAAAGAAGAGACTCATAGGGTGAGGTCTGGGAAGGAGCTTCTGTGTCCCAAAGAGACTGCATTACCCTCCTGAGAACAGATTTCTTTCTCCAACCAGGAATCCCGTGGAAATTCATTGTCCAGAGCTTTTACTGGGGGTCTTATGTAATTCAAATTCCAGCCTCCGCTCCCCTGAGGCCACATGATATCACAAGGTTGATATCAGGAGGTCCATATCACAAGAACAATATTGCATGACACTGTGGGTCTTTCTGGCATAGTCAACGCCCACCCAACATGAGCCAAAACCCTCAGGTGTGGTCTGGAATCTTCATCAAAGACACTTCAGTCACTGGAGGAAATTGCAAGGTTTTAGAGCTTATCTCTCAGAAACCAAGGACAAAGTCCAAATCCTTTGTGTAAAGTTAAATTTTTTCCCCACAAGTGTGTTCTTGGGATAGAAAAGAGAGAGAACTGAGTCATGGGAAAAATGGGGGTGGGGTCTATTTTTCTGGAGTAAAGAAGAAATAGCATCCAGTGTAACGAAGTAAGAGAGAAGGAATCCATTAAAATAGAAATAAATAAAATGTTTAGGAACATTTCCAGGGAAGAAACAAATGT